CCCACGAGAAATGAAAACATGTCCACACAACGATTTGTACACAAATGTTCAAAATACAATTATTTCTAATAGTCCCAGGATGGAAACAATCCAAATGCCAATCAACAGGTGAATGGATAAATAAACTGTGATATAATTGCACAAAGCAATAGAACTCAGAAACAAAAAGGTACAAACTACTCATACAGGCAGCAACATGAATGAGCCTCAGAAGCTGAGCTGAGTGAAAGAAACCAGATGAAAGATAATTATGTATTTTATTATTCCATTTATGTGGAATTTCTAGAATAAGCAAAATGATAGAGCTATCAAGTAGATCAGAGGTTACCTGGAGCTGGGGCTAGGAACTGCTAGGAACTACAAACAAGCATGAGGGAACATGTTAAGGTGATAAAGTGTTCTAACACTGGCCTGTGATGAGCTTTATACAACCTCAAGTGAATGATTCAAATAAAAATCTAACTGAACACTTACAATGTATGAGTTGTATGGCATGTAAATTACACCTCAATAAATCTACATTTTTTTGAAAGGAAGGACAATGCTATGAAGTTGTGGCATGTATTTTTGTTTTTTAGCTTTTATTGTAAATTGAGTAATAGCACCTGACTCAATAGCACCTAAAAACAACAACAGTGAGACTATGTTACATGGGAGAATATCAGTTTTACACTCATTGTTTCATTGCAATGATCACAATCTCCTCCACGCATCATCATTCAACAGTGTTTACTTCCATTCCCTCCGGTTTTTGTTTTGCTTTGTTTTGGGGGGGTGATGTACACGAAACCACTCAGGAATATATAATCATTTAAACAACCAAAGGGCACATTCTGTAAGCCTGTGGCATGTATTTTTAAATTGGGTGCCAACGTAATCCAAAACAAGACAGTTGTGAGAATAAAGGGTTTGCTGTTAGTAACTACAAAAGAAGACTGATGTGAGCCAGCACTGTTCTGGCCGCCTCGGATGAGTAGTGCCCTCTTCTTAAAATAGGTATAAGCTGGCCACTATTGCCGTGACAAGGTCTGTAGGCCAGCACCCCTTGCCAACCACTCTGCCACCACAATGGAGGACATGAACGAGTACAGCAACATAGAGGAATTCGCGGAGGGATCCAAGATAAACGTGAACAAGAGTCAGCAGGATGACCGTGACGGTAAAATCTTTATTGGAGGCTTGAGCTGAGATACCAGCAGGAAAGATCTGACTGAGTATTTGTCTTGATTTGGAGAAGTTGTAGACTGCACAATTAAAACAGATTCACTCACTGGACAGTCAAGAGAATTAGGATTTGGACTTTTCAGAGATGCTGCTAGTGTTGATTAGGTTTTGGAACTGAAAGAACACAAACTGGATGGCAAATTAACAGACCCCAAAAGGGCCAAAGCTTTAAAAGGGAAGGAACCCCAAAAGTTTTAATGGCTGGACTGAGTCCAGATACTTCTGAAGAGCAAATGAAAGAATATTTTGGCACATTCAGAGAGATTGAAAATATGGAACTTCCCACGGATACAAAAACAAATGAAAGAGGAGGATTTTGTTTTATCATATATATATAGATAAAGAGTCAGTAAAAGAATTAGATGGATTGGCCTACGGGCAGCATCAACAGACTCAAGCATGGCTACAATAGTGAGGTTGACCCAGGATCAGGCAATGTTTCATTCTGCTGTGCACAAGGTCGTTGTGGGTCGGTACCAACTCAATGGCACATAACAACCACCACAACAACAAAGAAATTGTTAGAAAGCAGATATTATCAAATCGGTTCTGGGAAGTGGGAAATCAAAGTTGTGCAGCCCAAAGGGGTAAGTAGGAGCAACAACCACAACAGAAAGGAGGAAGAGGAGCTGCAGCTGGTGGAAGAGGCCAGGCCCAAGACTGGAAATAAGGATTTAATAACTATGATCTTCAAGGATATGGAAATGCCAATAGTGCCTGTGGTGGTGGTCAAAATTATAGTGACTATGGCGGATATGATCATACTGGGTACAACTATGAGAACTATGGATATGGACAGGGATATGCAGACCACAGTGGCCAACAAAGTACGTGTAGCAAGGCATCTCAAGGGGCTGTTATTGGTGTTAAGTGCTGTGGAGTCGATTGATTCTGACTCACAGCGACCCTGTATTGGGTTTCCAAGGAGCAGCTGGTAAGCTTGAACCACCGACTTTGCAGTTCAAATGACTTTGCAGTCTGACGCATTAGCTCACAGTGGCACACCAGGACCCCAATCTTGCCCGGATGATCCTCAGTGATCTGGGGTGCAGGCTTCAAATCTGTAGCTGTCTAGTGACAGAGTGGTCCAATTCCACCTGGAGGGGATAGCAACCACCAAAACAATTACCAGCCAGACTAAAGGAGGACACTGGAGGAAATGCTAAAGTAACCCATCTTAGCAGGATGACAGTGAAGACTGGTCTTCTGTTGATCTAAGGTGACTTTTCGTAAAAGACTCTTTAGTGTACAAGGCACATTGTGTCACCACTTAATTTTCTTTTGTTTTTACTTTATCCTTTGCTATCTGGATTTTGACTCAATGTGGATTTGTGTTTATACAAATTTTATTTGTGTGATTTCATGTTAAACCTCAAATAAATGCTTCTTTATGTGATTGTAAAAAAACAAAACAAAAGAGGTATAAGCTAAGTATTCAACAGCCATAGTTATTAACCACCTGCTATATGCAAGGCATATGGAAAGTGATAGAAATGCACTTATGAACAAGATGGGCATTGATAAGGTTGCATCTTAACCAGGCCCTCTGTTACTGGAAAATAGCAATGGTTCAAGATGTCCCTCCACTCTTTGCGTTAAGGAAAATGGCTCACTGCAGATGACTGCCTTTCCTGTACGATACAATGGTTAAGCACTGTGGTGCCAACAGAAAGGCTGACACTTACACCCTATCACTGCCCTGCAGGAGAATGTCATGGCACTGAGCTTCCATCAAGATTGCTGATATTGTTAAATGCCGTCAAGTTGGTTCTGACTCATGGCAACCCTGTCTACATTTTCCAAGGAGCAGTCCTTGGAAACCATAGGACTTACGGTGGGTTAGCAGTCCATTTCGTATGCTACAACTCCACAGCAGGACTCCGTAAAGACTGCTGTTGTTAAGTGCCATTGAGTTAGTAATAACTCACAGTGACCCTATGCACAACAAAATGAAACACTGCCTGGTCCTGGGCCAACCTCACAATTGTTGCCATACTTGAGCCCACTGACGATGCCATTATGCCAATCCATCTTGCTGGGGGTCTTCCTCTTTTTCTCTGACCCTCCACCTTACCAAACATGATATCCTTCTCCAGCAACTGATCCCTCATGACAATATGTCTGAAATATGAGAGATGAAGTTTGGTCATTTTGTCCTCCAAGGAGCATTCTGGCTGCACTTCTTCCAAAACAGATCTATTGGTTCTTTTGGCAGCCCATGGCACTTTCAATATTCTCCTCCAACACCATATAACTCAAATGCATCAATTTTTCTATGGTCTTCCTTATTCACTGTCCAACTTTCACATGCATATGAGGTTATTGAAAATACCATGGCTTAGGTCAGACACACCTTAGTCTTCAAGCCGATATCTTTGCTCTTCAACACTTTAAAAAGGTCCTGTGCAGCAGATTTGCCTAATGCAATACATCATTTGATTTCTTAACTGTTGCTTCCATGAGTGTTGATAGTTGATCCAAGAAGAATGAAGTTCTTGACAGCTTCAGTCTCTTCTCCATTGATAAGAATGTTGATTATTGGTCCAGTGGTTAGGACTTTTGTTTTCTTTACATGGAGATGCAATCCATATATAAGGCTGTGCTCTTTGATCTTCATCAGTTAAGTATTTTAAGTCCTCTTCACTTTCAGCAAGCAAGGTTGTACCATTTGCATATTGCAGGTTGTTAATGAGTTTTCCTCTAATCCTGATACCGCGTTTTTCCTCATATAATGCAGTTTCTGATTATTTGTTCAGCATACAGATTGCATAAGTATGGTGAAAGAATACAACCCTGTCTCACACCTTTCCTAATTTTAAACTATTCAGTGTTCCCAGGTTCCTCATGAGCACAATTAAGTGTTCCGGAATGCTCATTCTCCGCAATGATGTCCGTAGCTTGTCATGATCCACACTATCGAAAGCCTTTGCGTAGTCAATAAAGCACACGGTAAGGAGCTCTGGTAGCGTTGTGGTTATGAATCGGGCTGCGAACCTCAAGGTTAGCAGTTCGAATCTACCAGCTGTTCCTGTTAAGATTTACAGCCTGGGAAACCCTGTGTGTGGGAACCACGGCACATAACCACCACCAAACATCTTTCTGGCTGGTGATCTAGTTAAGCCTAAAGGTCCAGTGCCTTGGACCCAAACTCAGATCCTGAGGCCTGTGTCCCCAGACTAGGGGACTAGGGGATGGAGTGAGTGGTGGAGAAGCAGGCAAACAGTGTGCATGTGCCTGACACACTAAAGCGCAAGCGGTACAGTGTGAGTTATCACTACAGCTACGCCACGCACGGGGCCCCTGCGAGCCTAGGAGCACTCGTGGAAGTTGTGCGACAGGCGGTAGATACCCACGCTCCAGTTGTCGCCCGGTGTCCTGGAGCAGAGTCCTGTGTGCAGGTGGGGAGCCCGGAATCACACAGGTCCTCTGCCCGTAGCAAGGCCAAGCAGACCTGGCCGCCGCCTGCGTGAGAGCCACGCCCCCAGCCTGCGCTGGGTGAGGACGTCGATGTGCTCGGCGCTCTACTGATCCAGCCCCGGGAGTGGGCAGGCCCGCTTGTCCTCAGGTGGTCTAACAGGCGCTGGAGCCGACCAATAGCTTGGTTGCAACTCTCCGCCCCTTCCTCCTGATTGGCCGACAGGGAAAAGCCGGGCGGTGAGCGGCTGCACACTCCTGTGGTGAGCCAGAGCCGCGCTTAGAGTCTCAGTCTGCCGCGAACCCCGAGTTCTCCGCGCTTTGACTCTCTTCGTTTCTGGTTTGTCGCCGCCGCCGCCGCCATGGCCGAGTGAGTGCCCTACTCCGGAGGGCCGGGGCGGGAAGCTGGGCGCGGACTCTGTGCCTGCGGGGAAGTTTCTGAGGCTGGGATCCGGCAGGTCATTTCAGCTCGGAGCACAGACGTGCCCTCTGGCGTCTCATCAGCCCCTTGGGGTCCCTAAGCCTGGCTTCGTGGGCCTCCGAGCTCCAGGCTTCAGCTCCTCGGCCCCAGACCCCAGAAACCCCGATCCCGATCCCAACCCCCGATCCTCTGCGCGACAGCGGCCTGGGCGGATTCCCCTGCCTTGGAAGGGCCCTTGAGCATGGGGAAGTGCAGAGGCGCTGCGAGGGCACCCGGAGGGAGGGAACCGGCTCCGACCCTCCGCCGCCAACCCGAGGAGGAGCTGTGGCCATAGGCTCGTCCCCCCCCTGCGGGGCTCACCTGCAGTGGGGGAGACGGGACATCTGCCATAAAAAATAATGACCGGAGACATTCGGACCCAAATGACACGCTCTGAATAACTGCCTAAGTGCAGGGTTAGTTCATGGCACTAGACTTGGGGTTCCCTGAGTGACTTGTCTACCTACAGTTTCATGGAAGGCTGCATTACCTGCCTTCTAACTTGTACGGGGGAGTATGGGGACAAAGGAAAACGTAAGAAAAGTGACTCGGGGTATCAAGAGCTAGAAATAATTGGGTTCCCGAGTTGCATTGAATTCAGTGCCCCTGACACCTTTTTTCTCCGTCTTGCAGAGCTGACATTGCACTGATTGGACTGGCTGTCATGGGCCAGAACTTAATTTTGAACATGAACGACCACGGCTTTGTGGTAAGTGTCTTGTTTTCTGGATTCTTGGAATACAATAGCTGGGGTATCTGGTTCTGTTGATTTCAAAGTTCTCATATAATCTATCTCATACCCTGTTGCTGCTTAGGGGATGTAGTAAAGGAAGGAAAAACAATTTCTAAGTGGGAGAAACTGCTCTGCTGGTCTGAGGAAGAGAGGCCTGCTGAATGTATCTGTCAGTTCTAGAAGGTTTACAGCCTGACCAATGAAATCCGGCCTGAAGTAGAGGAAGGAGCCCTGGTGGGGCAGTCAACAAGTTAAGCACAAAGTTGGCAGTTTGAACCCATCAGAATCTCCATAGAAGAAAGATGGGCAGTCTACTTCTGTAAAGATTGCAGCCTTGGAAACCCTGTGGGGTAGTTTGACTCTGTCCTACAGGGCTGCTACAAGGGTTTTGTTTTTAGAATTTGTTGTCTTTCTTTATTTTGTTTTGTCTTTTAAGTCAAGATTTATGAGAGAGGAGAAGCGATCCTGCTGGGTCTGCAGAACTTTGAACTTTATTACTTAGTGAGATAAGAGGAATGTGAGAATTTTGTGTCTAAATACTAGACTGGTTTAGACACAGGCATGGCAGTGACTAGTGACAGAAAGCAGAGTTCCTTGTGGAACTGGCTGGATTCTGGATCAGATTCTGAATCCCAGTGACAGATGAGTTTGGTATGCCGAGGGCCATTGACCTTTGCTTTATGTTGCGTTCCCTGTCATTTCATCCTACTGAGGCAGCTGAACGTAACAGTCTGTGCTCAGCCAGCACTTGAGCAGATGGGAACTTAAAAGCAGCTTTGGTAACAAAGAAGAGGAACAACTGAGATGGACCTTCCACAAATCTTGGGACAAATGGAAATGTCATCGTCAGTCTCAAAGTTTTATTTGTTGTAGATCCCCTAATCAAGCTGCTTGTCCCTTTAGGTCTGTGCTTTTAACAGGACGGTCTCCAAAGTTGATGATTTCTTGGCCAACGAGGCAAAGGGAACCAAAGTGGTTGGTGCTCACTCTTTGAAGGAAATTGTCTCCAAGTTAAAGAAGCCCCGGAGGATCATACTTCTCGTGAAGGCTGGTCAAGCTGTTGATGATTTCATTGAAAAACTGGTAAGGCCAACTCTGCTCCCACTATTGCTAGTATGACAGCTTTTTTGGTTTCTTCATTTAGCTTTTTCCTTTCTTTTACTTCAGAGATTTTTTTCTCCCTCTGCTTCTAGAGATAAAGTGTACAATCTGGTGAAATGATTGCTTAAATGTCTCAGTGTTGCTGAACTTGATTGGCACTCATTATCTAAATAACCCCGTATTCTTAGCTAGTAATAATTCCTCTGAGGACACTAAGAAATTTCCATAGTAATTAACAATAAGAATAGCAACCAAATAATCATATGGGTTCATTATCTTTGTTATTCAGAAGACATTACAAGTTTGTGTACTATCCATGTATGAATGTTCAGTGATACCTACTAATAAACCTGTATGTCCAAATTTAGAAATCTATTTCATTTTATTCTTGATATTCCTATAAAGCAACAATTCTCAAAGTAGTTGTATAATTTAAGTGACAAATCACCCTAGAGAATCTTGGGAACTGCAGGCTATTTTTCCTGTTGCTGTTGCATTGAGCCTGTGTTGTAAATGTCCACTAATCATCTCCATGTAAGCAGTTCATCTCTCTAGTTAGGGAGGGTGAGAGACTAGCAGTTACTGGAGAAACAAACTACTCACTCAGAGATGGTTTGTTTCACACAACAATCTAAGCAGATACTTGTAACACTTGAGCTCACTGTGGCAACAGGGGAAAACGAAAAAAATCCCTTTGTAAGTGGACCCGCAAAGTTCAAACCTGTGTTGTTCAAGGGTCGACTGCTTTTGGGGGAGGGGGGGTAAAAAAAAAAAAGAAATGTAGTATGGATAAAGGGGGAACCATTGAAAATAATTTATTTTGAAATTAAAAAAATTTTTGCCTTAGAGCTCTCCCCCCACCCCACCCCCCCAAAAAAATCAAAGAACTACCAGTTTGGAAGAAATGTTTTGTTGTAAGTAAGTAATGTAGGGATAATAAAGCAAAGGGATTAACATTCCTTTTCTGAAAGGAATAGTGTTAACAGTGGAATGGTTTCTTCTGAGAGAGGAATGTAACCAGCATGCTACCATTTTAAAAATAAACAACCTACAAAGGAAAGACAGTGTGATGAAGGACATTGTAACCTTTTTGTATAGTAGAATATCATGCTGTTCTTGATTAGCTTCATACAGAATGGACTGAAAATTATGTTGTTTTTCAGTCTAGGGAAAACATCAAGCAATGTTAACTGTTAACAACAGAGCTGTTAATGTAGAATTCTCTCTGAAGATCTAAATGAATTATTTGCACTGACTCTTCTTTATTGCACATATGTATTTCCTGTAGGAGGAAAGATTGAATAATAACACTGACCTGAGTAATGGGCAGAAGTATGATACTGGGGTACTGGTGTGGCGCTGTGGGTTAATGCTCTGGACTGCAAAGTCGGTTTGAACTGCTAGGTCAGTGGTTCAAGCCCACCAGCTGCTCCTCAGAAAGCCTATACAGGGTCGCTATGGGTCAGAACTGACTTGGTGGTACTTAACAACAATGATATTCAAGGCTCAGTCTCTACCTGCCATTTCCAAACAATATTGATCAAAATGGGGTGCCAAACCAGTTTAGTCATGGCTGAAAATTTGAAGCAGACCCGAATTTTAAAATTTGAGTGGAATTAGCATCACACTGACAATGGTGTACATCTGACTTTGGTAAGTAACAACTGGCATCTTAGAAGGTCATGAGCAACATCTGAGGTGCAGCTACCGGTCTTTCCCTCTGTAGAGGAGAGAAGAATGATGAAAATTGAAGCTGCTTGGAAACAGTCCAGTGGACTAATGGACGACATGAACATCAGTCTCCATGATCCTGAAACCAAAAGAACTACATAGTACCTGGCTAGCACTACCAGCTGCTCTGAAAGGAATCACATGAGAAAGTCCTAGATAGAAGGGGAGAAAATGTGGAACAAAACTAAAAATTATTTTTATAAAAAACACCACACTTACTGGTCAGAAAGATACTGGTAGAAGCCCAAGACTATGGTCCTTGGTCACCCTTCAGGTCTGAAACTGAACTCACCCCCATGGTTCAGTATCAGCCAAAAAATAGATAGGTGTTTGGCGGCACTAGTGAGGCGTGCACACCATAGAATGATCAACCATTTGAAATCAAAAGGGCCCCATTTACCCAAGGACAAACTTCAGAAGAGTTGGGAAAGTAGGAATGGAAGTAAACACAGGGAGGAAGTGTGATAAATAATGTTACATTGAAAGGGTTGCATTCATTGATATGAAACGGTATGTGACTTGTTCAATATAAAGCTGATGATCTACTTTGTAATCCTTCATTAATTCACAGGAAAAAGTGACTTACAACATTTTTGGTAAAGTGGGTCAATAACTGGAATGGGAAGACTCAGAAGAGGTGTAATGAGCCTTCTCAAGAACCTGATGTAGAAGGTTGGAGTGTGGAGAATGACATACATTCAAAGTAGTGTAGTCTGTCACCATAGTTGAATGGGGCACTGTGTCTGACTCTTCTAGTCAAGAGATTTGTTTGCTAGGCAACATGCATACTGCCTTTGCTTTCTAAGAGGGAGATACAGTATCTTGTAGGGCATCAACCTGTAATTTTTCCTATTTTGGTTATCTTTCCAGTACACCCACATTTTACAAACTTGGGCCTGTCTGGCTTCAGTTCGTCAGCCATGACTGAGTTGGGAAGAACCAGTTTGAAGCTCTGGATCAAAATCACTTATTCATACACTTTACCATTTTACATATCTTTACTAGATCTTTACACTGTTCTGTTGTTCCTATTAGACACTGTTGAGTCAGTTCCTACTCATAGTGACCCCATGTGACAGTAGGGCTGCCCCATAAGGTTTTCAAGACGACTTTTTACAGGAGCAGATTGCCAGGTCTTTCTCACCCTGAGCCTCTGAGTGGGTTTGAACTGCCAACCTTGTGGTTAAAAGGCAAATGCTTATCCAGTGCACGTACAGGACTCCTTACTGTGTTCTAGGTAGGCATTGTAGGAAGTGATAGACTCTTCTGGAGTTAGTCCTTGAGCTACTGTGTAAGGGATACTGGTGGTATACATTTACAATACAGAGTTTTCTAGGTGTATCAAAATAAAACCTTAAAGTACTTAAAGAGAATTATCTCTGTCTTGGAGGGTGCCAGGTAGATGTATGTGGTTGCTGTGTAATAGGCTAACCACAGTGTTGCTGGTTCAAAGCCAGTAGCCATTCCTTAGAACCCTTATACAGGTTCACTCTGAGTCAGAATTCACTCGTAAGTACTTTACCAACAGCAAGCTCTTAAATAGGGAGTTAATTAAGGGTCTAGCTCTAATCATAAAGGGATTTTTAAAGATTAAATAACGTGCTTTTAAGCTGGACTTACTTGGAATGAATTCCTTTGTCTGTTTTAATTAATCAAGGTATGTTTTGCCTTCGATTTCTGTGGCCCACTTTAATGCTGGTGTTTGGTTCTAGGTACCATTGTTGAGTGCTGGTGACATCATCATTGATGGGGGAAATTCTGAATACAGGGATACCACAGTAAGTGTTCTTTCCTTTGGTCCAAATTCTTCCCAGTTCCAAGAACATTCTAGAAAAAGTATTGGCATTACACACGTGACAAACATTGAACTTTCCTCTGGTAGTGTTAATTCTTTGTAGATTGGTACCCATGTGATAGTTCTTGATTGTTTTTCTACTAATACATAGTTAGTGGATGAGGTGTGCTCATCATTCACACAACTCGAGAATGGCTACTTGGCTACAGCTGGCAGGGAGCTTATACTTCCGTGCTTTTTCACTCCCAGTGATCCGTGAGACATCAATGTATAAAGTAATTGAGAACACTGCACTAGGCTCTTATATGCTTAGGGGAGGTTTCTGTACACTCTGAAGTGCTCAATGGCAAAAAATCTGGTTTGTATTAAGTCAACTTTAACCAAGTCAATGTACACAGTCTTTTCCAATAAGATGGGAATATATGTCTGGCTTTATTGGGGACAGAATAGATCTCTGGAACCTACAAGACATGATTTTTTCATTTTAATTCCCAAATTGAGGGAATCAAGGTTCTTAAATAATCAGGTTATTTTTGGGTCATTTAATGTCAAATGTGGGCTTTCTGTACCTGTTTCAGATATCCTCTCACTCTTACTCACTGGTAGAAATTTATTTTTCAGAAGCATAATGAAATTATTTTTCTCTCTTTTAGAGACGGTGCCAAGACCTCAAGGCCAAGGGAATCTTGTTTGTGGGGAGCGGAGTTAGTGGTGGAGAGGAGGGGGCCCGCTATGGCCCATCTCTAATGCCAGGAGGGAATAAAGAAGCTTGGTAAGTAGCATCAGCAGCACTTCCTTTTCCGTACAAGCGAGACAGGTACAGTTCCTCAGTCTGAGGCTTCTCTGTGGTGCACTGAGTTTTGGGAATTGGAGATGCTGGGAATATTTCCCTTTTATCTACATATTTTGCTGCTTTGATCTATGTGCATATTCTTTTCTTCTCTGTTACTCCTTCCAAGACTTGATTCTAGAAGTTTGGACTAGGCTTAAGGGGTTCAGAGGCCTCAAGTAAGCAGTTCAAATGATGTCCTGGGCACTGAGTTTAGGAGAAAGTTTACCTCTTTTAGCTAATTTATGGTCCTAAAATAATTGTTTACTTAATAATTGTGGTAATGAAAAAATCTAGCTAAGCCTCTTTTGTCCCTGGGAACTAAGTAGAAATTTTAAATACACTTTTGCTGGGCTGTCTGTTTAGTGGCCTATTGTTGTTCTTAGTTGCCATTGAATCAGTTCTGACTCAGGGATCTTACGTAGGGTTTCCGAGGAGTGACTGGTGGGTTTGAACCTCCAACCTTGAGGTTAGCTCAGTACTTATCCTACAGCGCCACACTTGTTGAGTACCCTCAAATCAGTTCCGACTCATAGTGACCCTGTATAGGGTTTCTGAGAGCAACTGGTAGGTTTGAACTGATCTTGTGATTAGCAGTCCAGTGCTTACCCTGTAGAGCCACACCAGGACTCCAGCACCACACTGTTATTGTTAAGTGCTGTGGAGTCAGTTCCAACTCATAGTAACCCTGTATAGGGCTTCTGAGGAGTGGCTTGGTGGGTTTGAACTGCCGACCTTGTGGTTCAGATCAACCTTGCTGTTCAGTGTCTATTCTAGAGTGTCACACTAGGATTCCTCAGTTCACTAAGGAACAGAAAGATGAAGTAAAGGTGTTTTTAGCAATGTTACCTACCATATGGGGAAAGAATGCCAATATCAAAAATGTGCTATTAGGAATGCAAGAAATGCACATGAAAAGATTTCACCTACAGGGGTGTTGTAACTGCTCATAATAGTTCCCTTTTTCACACTGGCATTTTTACCTGAAACAGTAACAAAGTTGTAAAGTTTAAGATGTAGCAGTCTTAACCCCTTACTCCTAAATGTTAATTTGTAATTCTTATTAAAGATTTTATGATTACCCAGAAGCTTTTCTGAAGAAGGCTGTATCAATCAATAGTGACCAAAAGGTCAACGGTTACTCAAAAGCAAAGATGAGAAGATAAGGGAAATCTTAGGGTATGTACTAGAAGCTGAACAACTAGAACACAGTCAAAGAGAAGATTGACATATTGTGGAAAATGTAACTAATGTCACTGAACAGTTTGTGTAGAAATTGTCAAATGAGAAATCATTTACTGTGTAAAGTCTTTATTGTTGTTAAGTGCTGTCGAGTTGATTCCAACCCATAGTGATTCTGTATAAGGTTTCCGAGAGGCGGCTGGTGAGCTTGAACTGCCGACCTTGCAGTTCAAATGGCTTTGCAGTCTGGCGCATTAACCCACAGTGCCACACCAGGACTCCGGCAAAGCCTTTATTAGAAACATATATGTTGTTGTCAGGTGCCATCGAGTCAGAACCGACTCATAGCGACCCCATGCACAGCAGAACGAAACAATGTCCGATCCTGGGCCAACTTCACTACCACTGCCACACTTGAGTCCATCAATGATGTCACCTGGCCAATCCATTTCGTTGGGGGTCTTCCTATTTTTCTCTGACCCTCCACCTTACCCAGCATGACATCCTTCTCCATCAACTGTTTCCTCCTGACAATATGTCCAAAGTAGGAGAGATGATGAAGCTTAGCCATCCTGGCCTCCAAGGAGCACTCTGGCTGCACTTCTTCCAAAACAGATCTGTTGGTTCTTTTGGCAGTCCATGGCACTTTCAGTATTCTCCTCCAACACCATAAAAAAAAAAAATATATATATATATATATATATATAATTTTTTTTTTTTTTAAAAAGAACAGTAAGGAAAAAACCTCTAGAGTGAATATGTCTTCTTAGTAGGGAGAGGGGAGAATGAAGACCAGTTGCTTCTCTGAATAACAGTGAGTGTATCACTTGGGAATTTTGCACAGTCTGTCTGTCTTTACCCTTAACCCAGCTGTCCAGAATCTTGATGTACCTGATGAGGTACATCCAGACTAGTGAAGGCGGGACTCTAAAGGAACTTGCATATTACTTGCTGTTTGGAACCACAGCTGCTGCTTTTGAGTCTGCAATTTGGAAATGTCTGGGGTTTTGATGATGCTTCTACCCAGCCTTTTTGTCTGTGGCTTCAGATTCGATTATGTAGTCTACAACTCCTGCTTTGGTGCCCGCCAGAATCTGGGGAGCAGGCGGGTCAGTTAGCACAGGACTCAGATTTACCTGGAGGACTAGCCTCATTCATTACTTTGTAGTGGGTACCTCCACCTTGCATTAAAAAGAAAAATCTGTGGGATGGGGGCAGTCCTTGAGTATTTCCTTGTACTGCCAGCCCCTCTTCTCAAAGCTGAATTCCACTGTTTTCTCCACAGGCCCCACATCAAGACAATCTTCCAAGACATTGCTGCAAAAGTCGGAACTGGAGAACCCTGCTGTGACTGGGCAAGTGCCAGGCTACTCTTCAAAGCCATTTGGAAACATTGGCTCCACTGAGGGCACATTGCACAGGACACCTGAGTCCCAGCAGTCAGCTTTGTGACCCAAGCTTCTCAGTGTTTGAGTTGTTAGCATAGCTGATGTCTCAGTTGCATGCTTCATATCTTAATTGAGTTAGGGAGTGAGTATCCACAGGCTTGGGCTGACAGTGTAGGCAGCCCTCCTCAACTCATTAAGGAACAAGAAAAACGAAGTGAAGTCAAATGTTTTTAGCCATGTTTACTATATGGCGAAAGAATGTCAGAGTCAAACGTGGGCTTTGGTTACCTGGGTGGAAGGAAGAAGATTGGATAAACCCTTACTGTGTCAGACGCCTGGGCCGTGAATGTGGAAAATTGTTTGCTCGTAGCCTGGGATTTTGATATTCTCTGCTTCAGTAGAATAAGCTGCAGACTCACTCTGAGTGATTGTGAAGGAGCCTAGGGTAGTACACAGATATCTCCTTCCTCCTATTTTGTGTGGCTATTAAAATTGTATCCCCAGTGCGGCCTTAGTCCATACTGTGGATGGAAAAACCACTAGGCTCAGGAGACCTGGATTCTAATTCTGGCTCTCCATTTCAGCTCCTTGTGTGACATTAGGCCTATTTGGGCATTTGTTTCTTTATGTGTTAAATATGGAGTTTAGACTAGATGATCTCCAAGGTTCTGTTAGTTTTTACCAGCACCACAAGTTGTCACCACATCAGTTCAACTGATAGTGACCTTGTCTGTGTTAAAACTCTGCTCCGTAAGCCTTTCAACAGCTACTTTTTGGGGAGATTACCAGGCCTTTCTTCTGAGGTACCTCTGGGTGGACTTGAACGTCTCACCTGTGATTAGCAGCTTTTTGGTTAACGGCATCATCCAAGGATACCCTTTAGTTCTTAAACCCCTTTAATTTTCTATGAGAAACTTCATATATTAATCATATGTGTGTTTATATACATATATCTTTATATATGTTTATGATATATTTTATGATATATATATATATATATGTGTGATAAAATTTTTGTGTGAGATAAAAGATGAAGGCAAGAATTAAGGCATCCGGGGAATGAGAGAAGCCCTCCTTTTGTGGGCCTGACAGACCCTGATGGCTGTAGCAGTTACACTGGTCCTTGGGTTTAACCAGTGATTTGCAGTTGAGTTCATTCAAAATCTGCTTAGGGTAGATATAATCTGGAGCTGTGACTTAAAAGGATGAGTAATTTTCTCAGCAATATGAAAGATTAGAAAGAATCTCTTTCCTTGGTAAAGATTTTACTATTGTAACAATGCAGTACCAGTAGCTTCCTCCTTTTAGATGCACTTCGGACAAAGTCAAGGAGCCCTGGTGGCGCTGTGGTTAAGATCTCGGCTGCTAACCTAAGGCTTGGTGGTTTGAACCCAGCCAGCAGCTTCACAGAAGAAAGATGTAGTGGTCTGCTTCTATTAAGATTACAGTGGAGGAAATCCCATGAGACATTTCTACTCTGTCACATGGGGTCACTATTAGTTGAAATCGATTGGACAGCACCTATTAGCACCACCAGGAAATAGTCATAAGCAAAAGCAGTGTATGCGCTTTAATGTTGTGATCAAGTCGATTTACATTCTGTGGCCTCAGACTTATTCGCAGCTCATTTAAAATAACAGTATAGATAATGAAGTCCTGGTGTGGTGCTGTGGGCTAATGCGTCAGACTGCAAGGTCGTTTGAACTGAAGGTTGATGGTTCAAGCTCATCAGCTGCTCCTTAGAAACCCTATACAGGGTCGCCATGGGTCAGAATCAACTCAGCGGCACTTAACAACAACAACAATAGATACTGAAAGCAGGCGCCCTTAGTTAATTTTTGAAGCAACAGGAAGAACTAAGTGAAGTAAGGTGTTATTGGCCATGTTAGTTCATGGCCAAAGAAAGTGTCAAAATCAGGATCCGGTAGGTTAGCAATGGAAAAGGGAAGTCTGATGTAAGTGCTGATGGTATCAGTTTAAGTAGTGACTGCCAGGAGAGAGACCACCCAGGTCAAACAAGCCCCTGGCCACCAGGTGGGTGTATCCATACCATAGAGATGGACACGTGGTTGCACAGCCTCATGCAATGACCTAGCTGACCCAGTGCTCCCTATGTTCTGATTCTTTGCCCATTAATTTTCAGATAATTTAGTTTCTCAGAAATTCCTAAGTTGGTATTCTCATTTTCTTTTTATCTTGCAAGCTTTTCTATTATAAATTAGTATGAACTTGGGGACCCTGGCAAGAATACATTTTTTTAAGAGTATAAGGTTGAGGGTCAGACATTGGATCCAAGGTCATTTGACTTTTCCATAGCCATTAAAAACAATTATAATACATTTATACACATTTTTAAAGTATAGTGGTTTAATTAGCCAGTTCTAATACAGGAAAAAGAAGACTTGTTTCACCTTTCGATGGGGGCTAGAGAATTAGGAGCTGCTTTAAATTAAAAGAAGAAATAATGGGAAATTTAGGCTGAAGAACTGCCATGGATTTGGGAAGTTTAAAATATTTCTGGGAAATGAGTTTAAAATAGCATTGCACTGGACTGGAGCTTGTGGTGATCTGTTATACGATGATTCTTATTTCAACAATAGTGTGAGTACAGGGAGGCAGTCTTGCCAAGGAATCTGACCTCAGTACTGATGTAGGTGTTGTGGTGTACTGGCTGCCTCTCTGAAGGCCTTTTGTGCTTGTCCCTGTACCCTCGGACAGGTGGGAGATGAGGGAGCAGGCCACTTCGTGAAGATGGTGCACAACGGGATCGAGTATGGCGACATGCAGCTCATCTGTGAGGCTTACCACTTGATGAAAGATGTACTGGGCATGGAGCATGACGAGATGGCCAAGGTGAGCCCGGCACAGCCTCCATGCCGAGGGAGCCATCACTGCTGAGGCCAGAAGGGGCTGGCCCAGGAAAGTAATCCCTTCCTCATTCTCTTCTCTCCATTCTGGTGGCCCGGGTGAACTCAGCCTAATTTAAGAAAAGCTATCCATAGAGGAGTCCTGCTATGGCGCTGTAGGATCAGCACTGGACTGTGTGAACTACAGGGTCAGTGGTTCAAACCCACTAGCAGCTCCTCGGAAACCCTGTACAGGGTCTCTCTGAGTCGAAATCAACTTAGCAGCACTCAACAACAATCAGTAGTAGAAGCAAGTCCTGGTAGTATAGTGGCTACACTGCTCAGTTGTTAACAAAACGATTGATCAGTGGTTCGAACCCACCAGCTGCTCCGTGGAGAAAGATATGACTGTCTGCTTCTGTAAAGATTGATAGCCTTGGACCTGTAGGGCAGTTCTGCTCTGTCCTGTAGAGTTACTGTGAGTGAGAATCAATTCAATATTAGCGGGTTTGGTTTAGGGTTCTCAGTAACAGGATTTTAAAAGGATCTAGTCACTAGCAAAATGTTCCTGAAGACTCCAGAATGTAATCATTTCTGCTGGTTAGCCCTACTGTGTGTCAAGTCAAGTCTGTGCCACTTTACACACAATATCTCACTCGATTCTACAAGTGTCCTCTGTGGAAGATGCAGCTAAATCTTGCTTTTTGATTATTTAGTTGGGACTAGTTTTGAGTTAAGGAGCTCTGGTAGTGTAGTGGTTACGAATTGGATTGTGAATCCCAAGGTCAGCAGTTCGAAACTACCAGCTGTTCCGCGGGAGAAAGATGAGGCTTTCTGCTCCTGTAAAGATTTACAGCCTCAGAAACCCTGTACATGGTCGCTATGAGTCTGTTCCGGCGCCACGGCACATAACCACCACCAGTCTTGAGTTAAATCAAAAAAGTTAGTTACAATAGGGATGCATAAAGCAGACCTTAAAACATTCCCCGCAATGTCTTATTATGATAATTTTCCAACATAAAGCAAAGTTGAAAGAATTTTACAGCAAGCAAATATATACCCACCACCTAGATCCTACTGTTCTTGCTTTCCCTCATATCTACCTATCTATCCCTTAACAATTTCATCTTATTTTTTGATATAAAGTAACGACACACATCTGTACTTTCTTTCTAATTACTTCTGCGTTGTTAACTAGATAAACAATTTTAAACATAAAAGGGTACGCTCATCCATCACTGACTTTTCTTTTTGGTACAGTGACCCTGTGTATTATTCCTTGCATCTGTTTTTGATGCTTCCTGCATCGTTAATATTGTGCCCCTGGAATTCTTCAGTATTACTTGAATCTCAAGGCTTCAATGTTTTCTTCAGTTTCTTTAGTTTGAGAGATGATGAGCGTGGTTTTCCCTGTTGGTTTTCTAACTCTAGTTCTTTGCACATGTAATTATAATTCCTCATTTCTTCCATTCATGTTAGCTTCTCTACACTCAAGAGCAAGTTTCAGTCTTTTGTAATATCCATTTTTGTCTTTTCTTTCTTTCCTGTCTTTTTAATTTAATCTTTTTTCTTGTATGATAATCTTGATATCATCCCACAACTCTTCTGGTTTTCTGTCATTAGTGTTAATGCATTAAATGTGTTCTTGAAATAGTCTCTAAATTTAGGTGGAATATATTCTGATATCTGTGTATTCTAGCTGGTGAGGTCCATGTGTATAGTCTCCTTTTATGTTGGAAAAAAGGTATTTGCAATGAAAAAGTCCTTGTTGTTGTAAAGTGACACCAAGTTGGTTCCAACTCATAACAACCCTGTATAGGATTTCCAAGGCTATAAATCTTTGCAGGAGCAGAAAGCCAGCCTCATCTTTCTCCTACAGAGTGGCTGGTGAGCTCATAACTGCCAACCTTGTTGTTCACAGTACAGTGTTTATTCTATAGAGAGACACTACGCTCTAGAAGTTGTCTGTCTTGCAAAATTCTATCATGCATTCTCCAACATTGCACCAAGGCCATGCTTTCCTGCTAGTGATCCTTCCTCTTTGTCTCCAACTCTGCATTCCAGTCACCAGTAATTTTTAATGTAGCTTGATTACATGTTTGATGGATTTCAGACTGAAGAAGTTGGTAGAATTCAGTTTAATCATCATTGGCTGTAGTAGTTGGTGCATAAATTTGAATGGTACTAGTATTAACTGGTCTTCCTTGTAGGCATATTGTCCTGTTATCCTTCACAGACAGCCTTAAAGTATTATAGGAATTTATTAGTAGTAAAGCTACTTATTCTGATGTGTTTTCTCATTCCTTTTTAAGAAAAAACCTTTTTATTATTAATTGAATGACAATACAGAGATCTTTAGTTTTGCATTCAGCAAATTTTCATCTCAGTGATTGCAATCCTTCCTCCCTGTGCTTATTTCCAGCCCTTTTCAACTTTGTCCTTAAGTAAATGTTGCATTTTTTATCTTGAATGATTGACCCATTCCATAGTGAGCATACCTCATTAATGCTGTAGTTCAACTATATACCTATCTACTGCTTGTTCTGACAATTAATGAATATTTGCAGCTGTTCTTCTCATTTTGAGTTGTTCCCTATCAGTAAATGACAGTCTCAAAAACTTTGCTCCATCCACATCATTAATGTCAACTCTCTTTTGAGGAGGCAGGTCTTCCCCAGTCGTATTTTTTAGTGCCTTCCAATCTGAGGGGCTCATCATCCAGCATTCTATCTGACAATGCATCACTGCTATTCGTAAGGTTTTCAATGGACAACCAGTTAGAAGTGCTCTGCCTCTCCTTCTTCCTGGTTTGTCTCAATTTGGAAACTGCTGAAACCTGTCCACCTTGGATGACCCTGCTGTTAGCTTCCAGCATAATAGCAACACATAAGCCACCAACAGTGCAGCACAGATGAGTGGTGGGGCCTCTTGGGGAAGTGACAATTAACAGAGGCTTAACTACAGGAAGAGCCTGTTTGCCTCTGGTCAGTTTGACATAGGATAAGAATGAATCAATTACAAAGAGAGCAGTTAAGGGGCTGCCCTGTATCATCCTTGTTTGTCTCATACTGGTTTTATTAATTTTTGGAAATGTTATGTCCTGCCTGTAGGCATTTGAGGAATGGAATAAGACAGAACTAGACTCGTTCCTGATTGAAATCACAGCAAATATCCTCAGATTCAAAGATACTGATGGCAAACACCTGCTGCCAAAGATCAAGGACAGTGCTGGGCAGAAGGGCACTGGAAAGTGGACAGCCATCTCAGCTCTGGAGTACGGTGTTCCTGTCACTCTCATTGGTAACGTCCCTTCCCATTGTTTACCATCTTTCTGATCTTGATGTCTTTCTGAGTACTGATGCCAAGTCTTTAGAACCTCTGTGCAGCCCCAGCAGCTTTCCGAGTGTTTTCTGCTACTTCTGCATGAGAAAGCCCGCAGTGTGAGAAGCTGGAAGCTCTTCTGAATAGCTTCTGTGTAATCATCCTCTCTCCTCTTATTTGGGCTTGAGGGACAAAGTAAAAAACCTTCTCTCTTACCTGATTTTACCTTCGGAATCATTTTGCGTTAGTGATTTAATTACAGTTAAACAACCTGAGTACGATATTTTTAATGGGGAGAAAGTGGTAACTGTAAAATAGTACATAGAGTAACAGTTATAGTCTCATAATTTATTAGTATTTTTCTGTTTTGTTTTTTTCTTTATCCTCAGATTAAATAATAAAACATTTGAAGTCCATCAATGTTCTTTTCTTAAGTCTTCTGCCTCTTTCCTCAAAATAAAATCATCTTCCCACAGTTCTTGTGGACTCTCCCATCCATGTTTATATTTTATTAATGAACTAAGCAGTAAACTCAAAAAGATCTGGAAAGGAAATAATAAAATGTAGAACTGAGCAGAAAAGATACAAGTAGTAAGAAAGAGTTAACAGAAGCAAAGGCAGATTTTTAAAGAATAAAATAGACACACTTTTGGTATGATTAAGGAACCCTGTTGGCTGGGTTACGGCAGTTCGAATCAGTAGACGTTCTGCTTTCATAGTCTCAGCCTCAGATCAGAATCAACTCAATGCCAGTGGATGTTGGTAAGATTGGGAAAAAAAAAAAAAAAAAGTCCAGTATGTTAAATGGAAGGCTACCTTTGCTCTTGGAAGAATGTTTCCCTTAATAATAAAACAGATTTCCTTATTTGCTTTTCCAAGATATGGGATTTTTCCCTATCTAGTTCACTCCCTTCTTTTGAATTCCTGAGCAATTATGCCTCATTCTGTTTACATGTGGCTAAAAGCCACACAGTAAGGGGGGAAGTAGGGTATGTAGTCCAGCCTTCTATAAAAAGAAATTGGCTTTTTAGCTAATTCCAGTGACACCATGGCAGAGTGGAAGGGCAGTAGCTGGGGAAAGTTTATTCATCATTGATATAAATGTATGTGAGAGTATTACAGCCTCAAAAAGAAAGCTTAACACTTGAGATTAGACTTGGTTCCCATTGTACAAATTGAAGGCCATTAGACTTAATCTGTGGATGGTTGCCATTTTTGTTTACTGAACTAATGGGGAAGTTAGGCTTCTAGACACCTCTTATGTAACCCTAAGGGGTTTTACCACATTTGCCTTACAAATGTCTTACAGAGCTTCCTTCCACAATTGCTAAGTCATCGTGTGTGTGCATTACAGGAGAAAAATGTTGGGCAGGGATGGAAAGACATTTGCTTTTGGTATGATTCCAGTTTAGCTTGTGTTCTTGAATGTATGGCTAGTCCCTTTTACTCATCTGGAGCTCTGGTGGCACAGTGCTTACAGAGGCTTTACTTCTAGAAGATTCTCTTACTTTGCCATTGAGGTGAAAATGGCAAAACAGTAAATTATTCTAATTATATAAATTGTCAACTGAGCAACAAGTTTTTTATAGAGGACAATTTTTTTTAAAAAAGCTTTGTGAATTGTATAAAGGTTTTCAGACAAGATCATCAGTTTTATATTCAGTGGATCTTACTGTGTTTCATCTCAGTGACTGCAGTCTGGCCTCCTCCTGTGGTTTCCTATTTCCATCCCACCCGTCTTGCCATCCCGTCTCAACTTTGTCCTTAGGGAAATGGTGCTCTTTTAATCTTGAATGGTTGACCACTCCATGGTGAGCACACCATAACTGGTGTTCTAGTATTGTCCCCTTTATGCCTATTTATTTCTTGGCTAAAAATTATAGGGGGTAATTTTTTTGAGATATTAAATGTACTTTATTGAAAGTTGTTTTTGTTTTTTATAAACAAAAAATGAATGCAAATTGTAAAACTTATGATAATTGTGGATATAATGAAAATCATAAAATATAAGAATTCTAAACTGAAGTTTTTCGATGGGTGAGTCTATGTAACTTCCTCAATAAACTAATTGTTTCAAAACTAATAGGTAGTTACTGCTTCAAAAGAGTCTTTGGTAAGCATTTAAAAGTCCTAAGTTGAAAGTGAGATTTTACTCATAGATCAACACTGGTTAAAATAATAAATCGTGTTTTTACCGCAAAACTCCCTTGTGTTGATTTTTGTGGTTGAGTATCTGTGTTTACAGTGAAAGATCAACTTGGAATTTGAGTTATGAAATTAACTGCTGTGCGCTTTTTATAAAAGTTCTTTTTGATTCCAGTTAAGTTTTGTGGCCTAAGGTTTGTTGAGACTCTCAGCTCTTTGAAAAACAGAATTTCCTGCTCCAGCTCTGTTTTTCCATGTCCTCTAGCCCTTCTGATCTCTTTACTCTTTTTTTAATATTTTGCTTTCCCCAATCCCTCTATGTAGGTGAAGCTGTCTTTGCTCGATGCTTATCATCACTGAAGGATGAGAGGATGCAAGCTTCCAAAAAACTAAAGGGTCCCCAAAAGGTCCAGTTTGAAGGAAACAAGAAATCATTCCTAGAAGACATTCGGAAGGTGGGGCATAGTCCCTGGCAATAATCTCTTTTGGTCCCTTTGAAGGTGGTGTGATGTAGGGGTTGCTCAGGGACAACACACTGAGGCCATAGGGTGGCAAGTGGGACAGTTTCAGCCTTGATCTTGATGTTCAGCTTTTCCTGTACCGCGCCTTAGAAGTCTGCACAGCAGATGTCAGCTGGTTTCTCTGCTCTGTGGGATTCTAATCAGTCTCATGTCATGCTTTAGGCCCTCTATGCTTCCAAGATCATCTCTTATGCTCAAGGCTTCATGCTGCTACGACAGGCAGCCACCGAATTTGGTTGGACCCTCAACTATGGTGGCATAGCCATGATGTGGAGGGGGGGCTGCATCATCAGAAGGTAAGTAGGAGGGTGCCCCCCACTTACCACTGGTCTGCTGTGTGCAGACCTGGGGTCTAAGGCCTGAATAATTTCCCTATAACTGAAAAAGCATCAATGAAGTAAATTTCTTTTTTATCTGTTCTTTTTTGTGGAAAGGCTTTTTTTTACTACTTGCGGCAGGGGAAATACAGCTGACAGTTGCCTTCCTCATTGCAGCCAGCACTTGCTCAGCTCCTGTTACTTCCTCTTAGCCTGGATGTGTGTCCCCACCCTTTTCTCATAGAGACCTTGAGCAGCCCGTGGCATATTGCTCACAGGGTGCAAGGCCACACCTAACGGATCATGTCCTGCACTGACTTGATGTGCTCAGTGACTCACCCGTGGCTTGCTCCCATTCTTGTGACCTTCGTTGAGGCCCATGGCCACAGCTCCTCTTCTTCAATGGCTGCTGTGATGGAGGGATACAAGGGAGGGGTAGATTGTTGCCTCCCCCAGTACAGCAGTGGCTCTGACCAGATGGTTTACGCTGCACGTTTTGCTCAGTGTTTGCATTGACCTTAAAGGACCTTTAATGGATGAGACCCATAACTTGATACCTCTCTTGGGTATATTGCTGCTTCCAACTTCCCTAATTTCCTGCCAGGTATTCAGCCTACTCTGGTAGTGTAGTGGTTATGAGTTGGGCTGCTAACCTCAAGGTCAGCAGTTCAAAACTACCAGCTGTTCTCTGGGAGAATGATGAGACTTTCTGCTCCCATAGAGATGCTACAGCCTTAGAAACCTTGTACAGGGTTGCTGAGTTGGAACCAACTCCACAGCACATAACCAACCAACTAGCCAATAGTTAACATTCCCTCTTCATTGTTTCAGTGTATTCTTAGGGAAGATAAAGGAGGCATTTGATCGAAACCCAGAACTTCAGAATCTTCTGCTAGATGACTTCTTTAAGTCTGCTGTTGAAAACTGCCAGGTATGGAGCCTAGGTGGGTGGCCATATGAAACACCAGTTCTCTCAGTGGGGGAATCTGATTTTCTTTTAGCAGCTTTGATACCAATGGAAATCCGCAGTTTAGAGCATCATCTGTTAGCTTTTCTATGCAAGAATCACTCACCTTTACCTTTGTTTGTGGCCCAGGACTCCTGGCGGCGGGCCATCAGTACAGGTGTCCAGATAGGCATCCCCATGCCCTGCTTCACCACCGCACTTTCCTTCTACGATGGGTACAGACATGAGCTGCTGCCTGCCAACCTCATTCAGGTAAACTTCTGGAGTAGCCTGGCTGGTACCTCAGTGTTGGATGCCTACAACAGACTAGTCTAACTAACCAAATTCCCTGTTTCCTAGGCTCAGCGGGATTACTTCGGGGCTCATACCTATGAACTTTTAGCCAAGCCAGGACAGTTCATCCACACTAATTGGACGGGCCATGGTGGCAGCGTGTCATCCTCTTCCTACAATGCCTAACTGTTTTTGTTACCAGCACAGAAACAGAAAATTCCATAATCTGGAACATTCCATTTGCCACAAAACACTGCTTACATGGCCCTTTGGCCTACCCTCTGCTCAGATCTTTTTTAAAACAAAGCGTTATAAGATACTCCTGAAAGAGTCCATTAGCGTTTACCTGTAAAGTAGCCTGTGAGAACCACTGTGTCCTCTACCCTTGCCCAGAAGTGACCATGTACGTCACCGCTCAGACGGCTCCTGGAAGCAGTCGTTTTCCATGACACTGGAGAGATTGAGGCCCTGGCAGGTGGGAACGGCTTTATTGGAATTTGATCTCACTGGAACCTTTGTATCATGCAACTGAATTTTTTCTCTCTACTTAATAAAAGCTACATTATATTTGGGTTTTTTAATATTTTCACCTCAGTGACACTGAGCCATAATCTCTATTAGTAGAACTGTTTGCAGTATGTTTCATTACATTGAACCAGCTTTTTCTTTCTAGTCTTACTAGATTTTCTTCTGGTTTCTTAAAACTTTTTTAAAGATTCTGAATAATATAAGAAATATCAAATGTAGGATAATGAGTAACTCTGGGGAAAGATGAGAAGCAGAAGGGACTTTGATGGTACTGCTGATTTTAAGTTGCATTAGTGGGTGTCTGTCCATGGTGATAGTATGTCATATAGCTGTACGTCATATATTTCATAATGAACTTTCTGGAAGGGAATGTAACCAGGATCATGGATACAATACAATATGTACTAACTTTGTTGTTGTTAAGTGCCATAGAGTCAGTTCCAAGCCATACCGACCCTATATAGGATTTCCGAAGAGTAGCTGGTCGGTCTGAACTGCCAACTTTGTGGTTCAAAGTGACCTTGTAGTCCAGCGCATTATCCTGCAGTACCACACCAGGACTCTACTATGTAGAAATTAGTGAACGGTAAGCTAATTTTCTCTGTAAACTTTCACGTAAAGCACAATTTAAACAATTTTTTAAAAACTTTGAGAATCCCCTTTAAGTGAGTGATAGGCTCAGCTTGCTGTGATTCATTCCTTTTCCTGCACTTCTATTTGTCCCAAAGTCAGGCCCCCAAATTTGGTGTGAGGCTTTTGTTTGAACTCAAATCAGCTGAACTCCAAGATGATTTTCCTGGAAAGCTCTAGAAAAGTACTAAAAGTGGCTTAAAAATAGAGCAAACAGCTGTGTTTTAACAAAGGGTATTGTATATAATGACTTCTGTCCTCCATCTCAGAAGAGAGCCGGGCAGAACTGACAAGGAAGAGACAAACTTTTTCATTAAATAACCAACTTGAAAACAGTCTACATGTGAGTACTGAGCTAGACCTGGCCCTGCACTTCGACATTCCCCCTCCCACCCTCAGCTGCAAATTTAAGAAGCACTTGAGTAAACTACTCATAAGAGACTTATTTTAAGGCGTGTAAACCAGCAAGTTTCTTGAAGGGTAACCTAGAGACCACTTGTTCCTAGGCAGATGTGTGCTTCTAGAATGGGTAGTGGATTTTTGTTTTTGTTACTAATGACCAAAAAGGAGCAATAGAGATTTGAGGTTTAAATGTCAGAAGGGCACTAAATAACTAACCTTTCAAGAAGCTGTGTGCACAGTGGGGTTTGGTTTCAAATTCACATTCTACTTATTGTATGACTTTGGGCAAATGATTTAATATCTTTGGTCTCAGTTTTCTCATTTGTAAAATGGGTGATAATAGTTCCCACCTCCTCAAGGCTATTTTGAGGATTTACAACAATAAGATACCATTTCACACCAGCAACAACAGCAAAGATTAAAAAAGTAGAGGACAATAAATGCTGGCGGGATGTGGAGAGACTGGGATGCTCCTGCATTGCTGGTGGGATTGCAAAATGGTCCAACCTCTCTGGAAAGCAATATGGCGCTTCCTCAGAAGGTTGGAAATAGACATACCTTATACTCCAGCATAATTATCACATAATTCACAATGAAACATTTTTCAAAAAAGAAAAAGGTAAGCCTTGAACTACATGGAGCAGAGTTCTCCTCTGACACCTGGAGTCATGAGTGGGAATCAACCTGATACCAACTGGTTCGGTTTATTATTATTATCACTCCAGAGTAGCCTGTTCTGGAAGCAGTGATGCTTCATTAGAAACCAAATATTCTCCGCACCCAGTAGTGAATTCACTTTGTACACTGATTCTGTAAGGTTCCTAATGGCACTTATTTTTATGAGGCACTGAAGGTTATGAGCAAAAAAGACCAGATCTTAGAGATGGGTACGTACTCCTGTAAGAGTAATGTACATAACTGCTCTTGGGAACTTGTTAAAATTCAGATTTGGACTCAGCAGTTTTGGGGGAGTGTATTTCTAGCAAGCTCCCAGGTGATGCTGCTGCTGCTGCTCTGGAGACATGATTTTGAGTCACAGGTGCAGAAGCAATGCTGAAAACTTTAGAGCACAGAATGTTTGTGTTTACATAGATGTGGGTTCAAAATCTAACTCTACTATCTACTAGCACCATCACCAGGGACATGTTGCTTACACCTTCTGATTCCATTGCTTCATGGGTAAAATGGAGCTAGTGACTATTTTCCTGAGGTATTGTGAATAACGGGTTATGTAAAATGCTGCACGCAGTAAGGGCATAATAAATAGATGCTATTTTTATTGTTATAAGAATAGAACCATCTTGAGAGGTAGGGCAAGATGGTAGGCTAATAAGAAAGGCTGTAGGACCCTCTACAACAAAGATACAGAAAACCAAATATATACAAACAACCTTAGATAGTTGCAATCCCCTCCATGCACCAACACTTAACAGCATTTACCTCTATTCACTTTAACCACCACATTACTCTTGTGTCTCCCTCCTCCCCCATCTTTCCTCTGGTTGTATATTGCCTGCCCCATCACCCATGTCAATGCATGTCTACCCTCTAGTGCATGTATCATTTCCTCCTCCCCCCAGAACCATCATAGATTGTTTCTTTTATCAAGAACCCCCCTCCTTTTCTTTTAAATGTACAAAAATAGAACCACACAGGGATATATAATAGTTAAAACAACCAAAGGGCACATTCTGGAAGCCAGCCATCTGGCCGCCAGCATACAGCCTTTCTTTTTGCATGAGTCTAGAGTCCTCAGCTTCTCAATCTCCCCATGCCATCACCTCTGCCTTTATCTCTGGTGTCACTTGTATCTCTGGTTACGGTCTCACGTTCTGCTCATGCTCTTCTCTCTTTATGGTCCTCTGTTCCCGGACTGTAAGATTAACTATTATCCCCTTTTTGTTACACAATGTTTACCTTTACAGTTGTGACTATAGCAATTAGGTATGATAACAATTACTATTGAATCAAATTAATCCTATCCCCACCTCCTTTCACCAGGCCCATCTAGACAAGAGGAAAGCTGTTCATTGGGGATCCAATATTCCTTTGCACACTCTGACTAAACTCTCTCTTGAAAACTTGTAAGCCAGCCACTTTGTGCCTTTATCAGTTTTCCTTCTGTCTTGTATGTTTTCTCTTCTTGCCTCACCCAACAACTGTGACTATATAAGCCAGCCACAACTGTACCCTATACAGCCCTACCCATTGAGAAAGAGCCCATACCAGCTCATGTACACCAGATCAACAGCAACAACCAACATCAGCTAAGTACACTGAACAGAGAATGGGCCGAAAGCTCATCTACAGATCACACCCACCAAGAGAGAGTTGGTGAGTGCCTAAGAATACAACAACATACTATCATCAACTTAATACAAATACAACACCACCACAATGTCTCAAAAGCAGCAGACAATTTCTGTTCACACAAAGAAATAAGACACAGTGGCTCAAATAAATGGCCAAGAGGTAGAGCTAGCAAATCTTTTTGAGGAAAGAAAAGACATTGTAACTACCTGAGAAAAATTTCAAGAGAATGTTATTTAGGTACCTCCAAGTGATTGACAGTGGGCTCAAGTTTGGCAACAATTGTGAAGTTGGCCCAGGACTGGGCAGTGTTTTGTTCTGTTGTGCATAGGATCGCTATGAGTCGGTACCAACTCGATGGCATCTAATAACAACAACAAAGTAATTGGCAGAAAGGTTGAGGAAAATTTTCAGAAAAGCACTACAGGAATAATCTTTAAAATTGATAAAGGATTGAAGACAACACAAAACCTGCAAATAGAAATCTAGAAGATTAAAACTAAGATATCAGAAATGGACAAGACTTTGAAAGGGTAAAGAAGTAGATTTGAATCAATGGAAGCCTGAATTAGTTGAAGATAAATCTCAATACTAGTAAGTAAGCTAGAAGAAAAATCAGAAAAAATAATGAAAAAATCTGGAGAAAGCCTAACATTCATGTGGGGCAACATGAAAATACATAACGTACAAGTGATTGGAATTCAAGAACAGAGAGACAAAGAAGTGCACAGAAAATATAGTTTTTCTAAGAAGTGTTGGAAGAAAATTTCCCTAACATCATGAAAGATTCTAAGGGAAGCATTTAAGAACCTCAATCAGGATAGACCCCAAAAGAAGATCATCAAGACATATACTCAGACTTTCCAAAATAAAGACAAGGAAAGAATCCTGAAAGCAGCTCATGAAAAACTAAATGTTGTCTACAAAGGAAAACCAATAGACTAAAACTGATTTCTCACAAAAACTGATTTCTCAGCAGAAACCATGCAGCCAAGAAGGCAATGGGGAGACATGTATGAAACCCCGAAAGAAAGAAAAAATTACCAGTCATATACTCATAAAGGTAGACGTTTTATAGCAAAAGGAGGGGAGTGATTAACTTTGCAGTATAGAAGTGGAGGTCCCTGGAACCACCAAGGGAGAAAAGCGGAGAGCGGGACCCTACCCAGAGAAGCAGTGATGCCAGAGATGGAGGCAGAGATGATGACATGGAGAGATGGAGCAGCTGGGGACTTTAGACCCAGAGAGGGACAGGGCTGTGTGCAGGCTTGCAGGGTTGATGCATGGAGTGGACTGTAACCATGGCAATGAAATAT